AACCAGAAGACTGTTGAAGAATGTTTTGTGGACGGATGAGACAAAAAATGAACTTTTTTGTTTAAATGAAAAAAGTGTTATGTTTGGAGAAAGGAACACTCTGCATTCCTACATAAGAATCTCATCCCGTCGGTGAAACATGATGGAGGTAGTATTGTGGTTTGGGCCTGTTTTGCTGCATCTGGGCCAGGACGGCTTGTCATCATTGATGGAACAATGGATCCTGCATTACATCAGAGAATTCTAAAGGACGATGTCAGGACATCTGTCCATGAACTGAATCTCAAGAGAAGGAGGGTCATGCAGCGAGACAATGACTCTAAACACACGAGTGGTTCTACCAAAGAATGAATCAAGAAGAATAAAGTTCATGTTTTGGAATGGCCAAGTCAAAGTCCTGACCTTCATCCAATCCAGATGTTGTGGAAGGACCTGAAGCAGCAGTTAATGTGAGGAAACCACCAACATCCAGAGCTGAAGCTGTTCTGTACAGAGGAATGAGATTAAATTCCTCCAAGTCATTGTGCAGGACTGATCAACAGTTACTGGAAAAGTTTAGTTGCAGTTATTGCTGCACAGCAGGGGTCACACCAGATACTGAAAGAAAAGGTTCACATACTTCAGCCACTCACAAAAAATGTTATATTGGACTTTCCTCAATAAATAAATGACCAAGTGTAATATTTCTCTCATTTGTTCAACCGGGTTCAATTTACCTGCTTTTAGGAGTTGTGTGAAAATCTGTTGATGCTTGAGGTCATATTTAGGCAGAAATATAGAAAATGACAAAGTGATCACAAACTTTCAAACACTACTGTATGCTGACTGCAGCTTGACGGTGCTTTGCGAGGCAAATTTTATCCCAATGTTTTCATTTTGTGGTATTATCAATGTTAATTTATTTCTATAGAACATAAAAACAACAAAAGCTGACCAAAGTGCTTTACAATTAAGTCAAATTAAAAAGAGACAAAAACTTACATTTTGTGCCACTCAGAAAACGTAAGAAAGTTAACAATAAAATACAACAACAATAAAAATCAGCTTTAACTTCTTCTTAGACTCTGCCTGGATCAAATGCCAAGGAAAAAAGAGGAGTCTAGAGCAAAGATTTAAAAGTCTTTACAGTCTTCATGGTCTTTAAATTATCAGGTAAACTGTTCCACAGTTTTGGAGCTGCAATCGCAAAAGTCACCTCTGAACTTCAGTTTGGCTCTAGGGACATCTAAACTGGTTGGCAGACCACAGTGCTGTAATTGGAGTGTAGATGTTAAGAAGATCACATAAATAAGATGGAGCCAGACCTTTAAAGGCTTTAAAAACAAGCAATAAAATCTTAAAATCAATCCAGAAGTGGACAGGAAGCCAGTGGAGAGAAGCCAGGACAGGGGTTATGCGTTCATATTTTCTAGTTGCTGTTATAAGACGGGCCACTGCGTTCTGGACGGTTTGTAAACGATGCAAAGATGATTTGTCTAAACCAACATACAATGCATTACAATAGTCCAAACGAGAGGTAATAAAAGCGTGACTCACCTTTTCAAGGTCTCTGAAAGGGAGACAAGGCTTCACCTTGGCAATAAGTCTTAGTTGGAAGAAACTGGATTTCACCGCTGCATTTATCTGCTGTCTATTTTAAAAGTACTATCGAAAATAACTCCCAGATTCCTGACAGTGGAGTGGCTGTATGAAGCCATGGGCCAAGAGTGTCAAGGGTGTTACATTTACCAAAGATGATTATTTCAGTTTTATTTTCATTTAAATGCAGAAAAATTAGTTTTAACCAGACTTTAAAGTCATTTAGACAATTCAAGAGTGGTTCTGGTTCCAGTCGAGTGACCCTGTCTGACTAAATGAGCAGATACAACTGAATATCATCGGCAAAGCAATGAAAAGGGATGTTATGCTTTCTAAAAATGGACCCCAAAGGCAACGTGTAAAGATTAAAAAGCAGTGGACCTAAAATGGGCCCTTGAGGGACCCCACAGATTAGAGCTGCAGATGATGAACAATCCCCTAAATGAACAGAAAAACTCCAGTCAGTCAGGTAGGATCTAAACCAGGATAAAACTTTGTCTTTGATACCAACCACCTGCTCAAGCCATCACAAGACGTTGTGGTCCACAGTATCAAAGGCAGCAGAAAGGTCTAAAAGCACTAAAACTGCACAGCTTCCTGAATCAACGGTTAAAAGAAGGTCATTAAAAACTCTTAAAAGTAGGGACGCACCGATCCACTTCTTTTTTCCCCCACTTCCGATCTGATACCAATATCTGCGGTTCAGTATCGGTCGATACCGATCTGATACAAAAAAACTGTGCTGAATTAACAAAAATGGCTAAATCATGTCATCTGGACCCATTTCTGAAACAGGTCCAGATGACATGATTTAGCCATTAAACCCAGTGTTGAATTAACTTCAAACATTTGTTTTGTTAAACGCAGACATGAATGTACTGAATGACAAATTTATTGAAAACTCTGCACCATAACAGCACACGTCACCAAGAGCTTCACAAGCTCGGTCAAACATGTAAAAACAACAACTTTAATTTATTTAGTCAGTTCGTTAGCGCCTGACGTCACTCAGAGCACAAAGCATCGAACTGGAGTGAATAGATCTGCCCAGTCATGGATCGGTCACGATGGGTATGTTTACATGGACATAAGTAACCGGATCAAATGGCCGGTCGGAATAAAAGTGTGTCATGCAAACACTCCGTTCGGGTTATTTTTTGTGTATTCGGCGCGATCCGTTATAATTTGTGATCAGAACGAAACGGGTGGTTTACGCCGATCCGAAACCCGATCGGTGCGCATGTAAACGCTTGATCTGTTCGTTTTTATCTGATGGTGAAAAACTGACCTGACTGCGCATGTGCGACTTTGCCATTTCCACCTGGCTAACGCTAATAATATTAGCATGTCAGGGAAGTAAAACTGGTCGGTGAGCGACACAACATTTCTACTAGAAACTTTTAAAGAGCTCAAAATGATCTGTATTACCTGTAGCTCAGTCAGGGAGTACAGTAACGTCTCCACCATCATTAAAACCTGTCACGGGTCCATTTTGGGTGCTCAGGTTTGTTTACGTTCACCAGGAAGTAGAACTTCTTCTTCTGTGTTTTTTTAAAGGAGAGTTTACCACTCTGCGCATGTCAGTACTGCTGTTCAGAACAAAACCCGCTGCATGTAAACGCTCGTCATGAACAGATTGTGCCCATGTAAACAATACATTTGAATTATTCAAACAGAACACATTTCAATCCGGTCAAAGAATTCTGCGCATGTAAACATAGCTACTGTCACTGATACCCGATCCAGTTTTTTTCCGATATCTGTACCGATAGCAATATTGGTATCAAATCGGTGCATCTCTGCTTAAAAGGGCTGTCTCTGTGCTGTGGCCTGATTTAAACCCAGACTGGAAGTTTGCTGTTGGAAATTAAAAATCTCTTAAGTTGATTAAAAACAACTTTCTCTAAAAAAAAAAAAAAGGCAGTTTAGAAATAGATCTATAATTTAAGAGCGCTGTTGGGTCTTAATTCAAGGGCTCTAAGTGCTGCTGCTTCACCGTTTGTCAATACAGGAAATTAGGTGTACGGTTGATTTCACTGAGCAAAACTAGACAAAAAGCTAAGAAATCAGGAAATCTGCTGGATTTGGACTCCTCCTTAGATCTGGAAACAACTTTCTCAAAAGTAAAGAAATTCTGGCATTGTATGAATAAGTTGTATATTTTCTGAGTTGATTTAGTCAACCTCCTTTAGCGTGTTAAAATGAGGTTGTGGTAAAGCTTTATGACAAACACAATATTTGACTTTTAGTACACGATTGCTGCGCTCCCCAGCCGCCAATCACACAACATATCCTGACTCAAACCAACCAATCACAGCAGTCATTTCTCCTGCACTCACAAAAAACTGTGGACCAGCTGTCAAACTCAAAATCTCTAACAAAACAACAACAAAAAAATTAAAAATGCTGTATCAACAAGTTTTACTGATATAAATGCATTCTTTGAAACTATTTCAAACCTAAGGAAAATGTGTAGGTAAATCAGGGAAAACATGCAAATATGAACAGTTTGTATTCGACCCAATGTGTGAATTGAGAACAGCAGATTATTCTATTTGATAAACGTTACAAACAATCCAAAGCCATCAAAACACAGCAAAAGTCCAGAAGCGCTAACCAGACAAAGTACCGTCGTCCAGACTGCTCCCTGCGGTTTAATTTTTAATCTGATTTTTCGTGGAAACATTTGAGAAGCAGCTTTGAACCCACAGCGTTTGGAACAAACCTGCGCTCTGATATGCTTTGATTGAGGACAGATCAAAAATGTCACAGAGGACAGTTTCAGGTGGTTTTACACTGATGGAAAACAGTCCCTCAAAACTGCAGGAACATTGTGAGGAACAAATCTTCAGCTGCAGTCCCACTGAACGCCGAATGTTTGCAACCAAGTGACCATCGAACTGTCCAGTTTTTAAAGAAATCGCAGCTCTTTTTCACGTGCAAGGCTTGGAAAACTACATTCTTGGCTGTGCACATTATTCTACTGTCCACTTTGCCCACTCAGGCTGGTTTGTTCCCACTTTGGCAGCTGCCCCCACATTTACGATTTAATCTGCTGCTTGGAACAACTTTAAAGATTCAGTTCTTATCAGCGTGGTTTATAGAAGACCTGGACATTTGCCTCGAATGTCCAGGTGTCAAAATATAGCTCTGGTGCTCTTCAGACGTGTTGAAGACGCCTGCAGAAAACTGCAGGTGGGATTGAGGCAGGTTGGAGACACCTGCCGGTACTACGACTTGGTGATGATTTTTGAAACGAAAGTTGTTGCGCACATTTTCTAAACGTGTTCAAAGCTCAAGACGACAGAGCTGCTCGCCTGCGGAAGTTGAGAATCCTTTGAAAGCCGCAGCTACCCGAGATACCGCCTGCAGCAAACTCAAAACAAAACATTAAAAAAAAAAAAAAAAAAAGATGTTCAAACCTGAGTGTGGAAACTGGCCATGGTCGTCGTCTCTATGTCCTTCTTTCCGAGCACCTCCATCTTGACTGGTGTGCTGGGGAACTTGCCCGAGAAGTAGTCTAGGAAGTCTGGGAGGTAAGAGGCCGCTCCGTGGATGATTCCCATCACAAAGCGTCCGGCGTTGGCCTCGTCCTCGCTGAACGTCAGGGCCACAAACTCCTCTGCGAAGCGCTCCATCTCAGCTGGAGACAGGCAGGAGAGCCGCTCGTTGTAGGCGTGTGCCACAGAGGCCCCTCCGTTGGCCTGCTGCTCGATATGGATCAGATGGCCAAACTCCAGTCCAGGCAGGACCGGTGCTGGGGTACAGTGGATGGGAGAGTTGTAGCTGAACCCGTCCCTGACCATGGAGGAGATGGTGTCGGAGGTAGCGGCAGTAACAGCAGGTTCCTGGTGGTGCTGTGGCGTCACGTGTATGAAAGTGCTGCTGTTGTCTCCATTTATTTGACCGAGGAACTCAGGCAGACCCAGAGATAACCCCGTGCACACGGTCTGGCACGAGCGGTGATACATTTTGGGCCGGCTGTGCCTCTCCTTCGCTCGCTCGCCATCTTTATGCTTCTTTTTCTTCTTCTTTTTGAGTTTCTTCAGCAGCAGGTCTTCCTCCGACGCTGCTTTCAGCTTTTCCTTGGATTCTGTTGTCAAGAGCACAAATTGGTTTACAGTCCAAACACAACATCTGCCACCTTATACATACAATAATATACTTGAAAAGTCAAGTTACGATGAGCTAGTCTGCTTTATTTCTTAAAAACCAAGCAGGGTATAGCCGCACCACCATGTTTTGTTTAATAGAAATGAAAAGCCACTTTTAATTTCATCATAATTTAATTCCCACCTTTCTGAGAAGTAACGTCTCCGTTTTCTCTAAAGCCGTCATGTGCAGGAGGCATTTGGTGATGTTTCCACTCTTTGTCCTTTTCTTTCTTTTGTCGGTCTTTCTCCTTCACACTGTGATCTGAGGAGGGAACAGAGAGCAGAAAAACAGCATCATTCATAACCTGCGCCATCATTAACCAACAAACATTTCCACGTGTATTCCCCACCATATGGGCCCAATAGAGGCCTGATGTGGCGGAAATTATTAAATAACCTGAATAAATGATTCCTGGGGTACAACCTGGCATATGATCTGAATCAGAGTGTAAACTGGTAAAGCAGATTGTTGCTGGGAGCAGACCAGCAGAGCGCTCCTACCTCTCTGGAGCGTTTTCACGTCGCCGTTCTCCGTCTTTGTATGGCAGCTAGCGGGGCTCACTTTCTCCAGAGCCGCGGCGGAGCTCCGCGGGGCTTCGGCGCTCATCTCCTCCTTGTGTCGTTTCTCTTTCGCCTTTTTCGCTTTGAGAGGCGAGGCGAGGAAGTTGCTGATTTTGAAGATCTTTCGGACAGGGGTAGCGGGCATCACGGAGGCGGTGGAGTGGCTCGCCTTGGCCGGGCCGAAACTCCATTTCGCTGGGCTTCCACAACTCTGCTTCCCGTTGTGTTTTTCCCCTGCGCACACCTCTCCGTTCAGCTTCCTGTGCTTCAGGCCCTTCTCCTCCACCCGGACCTTCTTGGGAGTAGGTGGGAAAATGTCGCTGGAAGACTGCGGTCGACTCTCGGGCGGTCGTTTGGCTATCAGTTTGGGAGAATTTGTTTTGCCGTTTGCTGCGAAATGCATGGAGTCAACGGACTCGGCCATCTTGGAAGTTTCTATTTTTTACGGTTGGACGTAACTGGTGCGTGCGAACACAGCTGGGGGCGGGACTTAACGCGTTACGTAAGACGCAGGGAGGAGGAGCCTCAGATTGTTTACAACCTGCAGGATAAGATGGTCTGTGCAGCTCAGTGCTGTTACCACACCAGTTTGTTGACACAGTAAAGGGCTTCTGTTTGCCTTATATCTTCTACTTATTACATTTTAATTAAACAATTAAAAAATGTATTCAAAAAAGTCTTCTACGTATGGTAAAATACAAAAAATATACTTTAGAAACTCACATCCGGTAGTCAGTTTCACATTTATTTATTAGTATTTTTCAGAGTTTTTTCAACAGAGTGCAAAATCTCAAATTACATAGTTGCCTTAGTAAACTTTACATTTTGTGCACAATATAAACAACTAAAAACATGAAATACTATATGTACTATGGTACTTTATTTTTAGTTAAAAGGTTGGAAATTGGTCAGCTGTACCACTAGCAACATATATCGGTAAGTACCCCACAACATAATTTATATACTTTATTTTTCATTACATTACAAACAATTTGTTACCAGCTGAGAAGCTGATATGTTAAACAAAATTTTAAAAGTAATTAACAAAGGTTTATTTTTTACAAAGCATGCAAATATTTCTTTTTTTTTCGCAACTTAGATGCATATATAACGCCTTCATGTTTACCTATATGGCAGTAATTAATTAATCAAGAAATAATTATATATTTTGTATTTGTCCTACAGCTCCTAAAGATAACACTACCATTATCTTACTTCCATAGACAACTGACATCAATTTTCCTAAGATTACTGTTACTTAAATGTTTTCTGATTGTATATACATTCTTCTGTTTGTATGCAATCACGTTCTGTTTTTGTACTTCATGTTATTATTTTTACATTATTGTTTATACAGTAATAAATTGGATTTGTCTTTATTCTTTTAGTTATTCTTATTTATGCCACTAGGTGGCAGTAAGGTCTTGGAAGTATCCAAAAAAGTTAAATCTGGTCCTCTGGACATTTAAAAAAACAAAACAAAGCTAAACAAATTTTTTGTTTTGTTTTTTGAATGTCCAGAGAACCAGATTTAACTTTTTTGGATTTTTCTACCTGGATTATTGAGCATGCATCAGGATGTCTTGGAAGTATATTGAGATATACAGTATACCGGGTATACTGTATATATATATATATATTAAATGTATGTTTATTGACTAGTACTTTGTTGGCAGTGAACAAGTCCACAAGTCTTTAGTTTCATCACATTCAAGGTGAAAGTGCTATTAATTTATTATAATATAATAAAGTCCCAAACAGGCTGTCTTTTGTAACATGCTAACTACAAAGTAGATGGAAGTTCTCCTAATGTTATGACATAAGAGAAAAACAAATCAAGCAAAAAATTCCTCAAACCACTCCTATATATAGTCCATTTGTGCATCCTCTCGTGTTCTCATCTGCATCTGCACCCACAAATGTAGAAATCTTAACCTGCCAGAGAGATTAAGACAGCAGCTTACAGTCGTCATGACACTGGCTTACTCTAAAATGAAATTTGTACATTTCTTCTGATTCAGATTACTCCCTTGGTGAGTGCTGAACTGTGTACTGACACTTAAACAGTTTCCATAGAGATGAAAACACAGTTTGCAGCAAAAAAGTAAAGGTCATTTCTGGTTCTCATACCACAAGGCAGTGCAGACCATGATCACTAACTCATCAGTACTTGAAAGCACATTTACCAAAACACTACTTATTTAAATCTGAGGTACTTGTACACAAGTATATTCTTTTGATGCCTTTTCAAATAGGATTGTATCAAATTTAAACAAAAAGCAATGACCTTCTTCCTCCCATGTGTGAAGATTTTCATGGCAAACTAACAAAAAGTAAGACCCATTTACTTTATTATACAATGATTAAAACATAAACTTGGTCAAAGTAGCTCCACTTAAACTTTGGAGTTAAAAATAGACTCAGTCTTGTGCCATGTTTATTATGTTGCTTAGGCACTTTTTGAAAGAATGCATATCACCCACCGCCTTAAATCAAGTTGGTCTCATGTTGAGAGATGATGGAGATGTCAAACCTTGTAGATGATGTTTTGTGTGAACTTATGATGATCTGTCAGAGTCTAAAACGTGTTGATGATGACTCTCAGCTACTACCACACCAAATTTAGCTCAATATCTGTAAAACTGACTAAGTTATAGCCATTTTTCTGTTGGCTACTATCAATTAGCTGTGGGGGCAATCATAAACGGGGTTGACTCCAAAAGTGAAATAGTTGTAGATGTACATTTAGTGATTATTTTTAAGTGTTTCATTAGGATCTGTCCATTTATTTATGAGATATTTTGCTAACGGACAAACAGACAAAACACTATCACCTTTGCACGATAGGGTGACAAGGCCTAGGTCTTTGGAATTTTAGTGCATTTGAAGTAATCATCTCAAACATAAGCATATTCAGCGCAGAACTCGTTTGAGTTTGTAATAAGATATTCTAAATTTAATTTCCAGATTTTTTTTTTTATATATTTTTGGATTAAAAAGAACAGTTTTCATATTGATTACTACAGATTTGATTCAGAGGAGAGGAGAGATCAACAGATATGAGTTTGTGTGGTGCATTCAAGGCCAACTGGAGACACATTAGGATGTTTTCGATTTAACGCAGCTGCGATGCAGAACACAGCACAAACCCATTCAGTCTGAACATGTTGGTGTGATATAATGAACAAGAAACAGTTCGGTAGAACATTTTTCATAAGTTCAGTTTAATTTAGCTGATCAGGAACTCAAACGTGTCCACTCCAAATACAGAATGCACCACCGCTTTTCTTCATCAGCACTGCATGACTCATTAATACAAATTTTTGGCAGCATTTTACTGAAGTCCAGGTTTTTGATTAAAAACTAATTGATCTGACGTTATCTGGTGTTGCTGGCTGATAAAAATCCAGCGCAGATGGGAGGAACACTTGATTCACTTTTAGGAATTACTATCAGTCAATTGATGGATGAAAAGCACTCACACATGGTAAAGGAATGTATCTGACTGCAGAATTAAAGATCCGGCTGCAAAGAGTTTGTGTGAATATGAATGTGTGTGGGTCTGCATGAGAAAGATAAAAGATGAAGACAGTCAGAAACTAGGCACAATTTCATTTTGCATTTTGAATATCTCATCCTCTACAGTATTTGGAAAAATTACTTAGCTCAAAGGACAAGACTGAAAGTCAAAACTGGATGGTACCACATTAAAAACAGGTCTGATTCTGTTCTGGACATCACTTCATGGGCTCAGGAAAACATTACATGTAATAAACAGTTCACCATGCCATCCACAAACACTGGTTAGTTCTACCATGCAAAGAAAAGGTAATTTATTCAAGGAGTCAAAGTTCTTTATTTGTCATACACACCACATGTGGTACATGTAGTGGAACAAAATTGTGTACACAGGGTCCCAGTTACATCCAACAAACGTATTAAAATGTAAAAGAAAAACAGTAATAAGATCTAAGACATGAACTAAGAAAAATGTTAACTAAAAATACACTAAGCACTAATAGCATAAAAACGATACACTGAACAGCAGCACAAACATGAGTCTGTGTGAGCAGATGAGCAAGTATGAACACAGCAATGAGACAGATCAGCAGCAACGTGAAACAGATCAGCAGCAACATGATGCGATTTTTTTCACAGTGATTATTCTAGTTAGAGATTCATGAGTCTAACAGCCTCAGGGTAGAAGCTGTTCCTCAGACTAGTGGTCTGAGGAACAGCCACTTAACGCTCCTTAACCTCCTTCCTGAGGGGAGCGGGGCAAAAAGTGTGTGTGTAATAAGTAATAAGATCTAAGATATGAACTAAGAAAAGCCTAAACTAAAAATACACTAAGAACTAACAGTGCAAAAACAATACGCCAAACAACAGCAGCACGAACATGAGCCTGTGTGAGCAGATGAGTACGAATGAACAGAGCAACATGAAACAGATCAGCAGCAACATGAAACAGATCAGCAGCAACAGCAACATGAAACAGATCAGCAGCAACATGAAATAGATCAGCAGCAACATGATATGGTTTTTCACAGTGATTATTCTGGTTAGAGATTCATGAGTCTAAAAGCCTCAGGGTAGAAGCTGTTCCTCAGTCTAGTGGTTCTGCACTTAATTCTCCTCAACTTCCTGTTTGAGGGGAGCGGGGCAAAAAGTGTGTGTGCTGGGTGAGTGGGGTCCTTCATGATGCAGGTGGCCCTCTTCCTGCATCTAGAGGCGTAGATGTCTGTGATGGTGGGGAGACTGACTCCAACAGCCTTCTGTGCAGCCTTCACCACTCTCTGCAAAGCTTTTTCTTTCTGCAGCTGTGCAGCCTCCATGCCACACGTTGATGCTGGAGCACAGGATGCTCCAGAAACACCATGGTCTGAAGTGGACCAAAGCTCGTTTAAAATGGACTGAGGCAAAGTGGAAACATACACCACATTCTCGGAGTGAAGAGGAGCGGGACCATGTGGTTAACGCAAAGTTCAAAAGTCTGCCTTGCTGATGGTATGGGGGTGCATTAGTGCCCCTGGCATGGACAGCTTACACATCTGGAACGGCACCATCAATGCAGAAAAATATGTACAGGTTTTAGAGCAACATCTTCTTCCATTCAGCAAAGACGATCCAGGACTGTTGAACTGATAAACTCCTACATCAGACCAGAATGGGACAACCTCCAAAACCACCAGCAGCTGCTCCTCTCAGTTCCTGGACGTTTACAGATTACTGTTAAAAGAAGAGTAGCTGCTTCACAGTAGTAAACATGGCTCTGTCCAAACTTTTTTGAGATGCGTTGCTGCCATCAAATTCAAAATGATTTGTTTTTTCCAAAAAAAGACCCAACACTTTTTTGTTTAAACAATTAACATGTTTACTTTATCTTGCTGTGAATAAAATGTATGTTTTTTTGCAAATTATTACATTCTG